GTAAAGTTCGTTCGGATACCACTATTTCGTCAAATCTATGAATACGAAAAGTAATCTATGCACGAGAAAACGATTTTGGGAGGTGAGCCCATAAAACCGCTGACGTTAGAGATATGACACGCAACCGACCGACAACCTTGATCAGAAGCCCGCCGAAGCGCCGAACACGACACTTCGCACTTCGCTTCGCCCATAGAGGCTTCGCCGAGCTTTCATGAACGATCGCTCTCGACTCGTTTTGTTTGCCCGCTCGCTCCAACCTGTCGATCCTGCCCGGGCTCTACAATGTCTTATGTTTTAGTAGAATTTCTACTCGACAAGACCCAGCTGGTTGTGAGTTCCGACGATGTAAGGGACTTTAGCGGTGTAGTTGAAGACGACAGGGTGTACCAGGTCTACTGGGCCGGTGATGCGCGAACAAAAGGATCGTTCTACGACGCGAAAGTACTCTACATGGCAGGTGAGTAAAACTGAAGTACGGCGAGTGATGCACGAGTGCTTTGCATAACATGCTGACGGCTTAACTGCATTTGCAGCCAAAGCATTTCGTATAAAACGAATAGTCAAATCGAGTTTCTCTAACGGTGGCGTAGCATAGCGGTTAAGGTGTCCGATTCGTACGCATGTGGTCGCGGGTGGTGCTGCCTTTTTTTTTTTTTCTCGAACATTTTGTTTTATCGAGGCATTTGGCGATATTTATGAGTGCGTATAGCTTTACTCTTATATAAATGCTGCCCTTGTTGATGAAATTCCCTTGGAAGTGGCAGTCAGACGTCATCTGATGAACCATCAGATGACGTCTGATGGTCCATCACGTTCCACCAACGCTGCTGACTGGCAGTCAGTGTCCCAAATTACGTAGCTTGATGGAATTTTCAATAGGGTTGGGTCCCTTTCGAAGCACATTCAGAACTTCCGTTGGTGGAGGTGGATCGACGTCACCCAGCACCATGACGTTCCTGCGCCCTTACTCCAAAGTGTCCTTTTTCCTTGCCAAATTTACCCTGGCTCGTTCCCACGAAAATTCTGTGCTCATTGTAAGGGGGGTGTCGTTTATCAGATACCCCTTTCATATAATACAGTGCACATCGGCCAGACAGGCCGATGTATAAATGATAGGCTAAAAGAACACGCGCTCTCGATGAGGTCATCGCCTGCGGGTAATTCCGCCATCCATTCTGACAGATGCGACTGTGAACCGAGGTTAGAAAAAACAGTCATCCTGGAGGGGTATAGACAGCAAATAACGTGGGAGATTGCCGAGGCGTACAACATATCTCGATGTGGAAATGACGTGTGTGTAAGTGCGCCCTCAATCTTTCTGTTCGATAAAAAAAACTGGCGTTCCTGGGGGCACGTGCATGATAGGCTTAGTGCGTGACAAGGTGATAAGGGTCGCCGCCCTATTTACTCACGGAGATTTTTATGCGTTGCTTTCAAATAAAAATCAGTCGAGATTAAGCGCTTTGTCTGTCTACATCTCCTCTCGCCATTCGCCTTGTTCGCGCTGTATTTAAAGGAGCGATGCAACAATTTTTGTACTTTGCGCAAATACCGTTTAAAACGGATCCCTAACGTTAATGACCTATAAAACACGGGTTCGTTTTTCACCCCACGCAATAGAAGTCTCAGAAAAAAATTTAAGAAAAACGAGCAGCGTTCACCCCCTCAACTCGCAGCCAGAACAAGCGGCCACGTGATCTGGAGCCGATTATATGCCGCCAGTGTTGATCATAGCCACGCGCTGGGGTTGGCAAAGCGCAGGACACGCGCTGAGTTCCAGACATTGTTATGGCTCGGCTGTTGTCGTCGTTGCAGCGATTGGACACGGGTCACAACCCGAATGCTTCTCGAGCTAGCAATTGTCACGAGCCCAAGTCGAGTGCCCACGCAATGCTCGGGTCCAATCTATGAACTGCATTGAAATATCGTCACTTGGGTGTACTGCGATCCCCGAGTTACGTCATCAAATTTTGCAAAGGAGAGATTGAATGAAAATGATCGCTTTTGTCCTTGAAATTACATCGCAACAAAGGAGTTTCTTGGCCAGTGGCGTTGCGTGTGAGTATCCTTGAGTCCCAGGTGTGCCAGTAAGCTCGTGTCGAGTGAAAAACATTCCAATTGAATATCGTTGCACCGCTCCTTTAATCGTCAATATGCAAAACCAACCCGCCCAAGTCTTCACTCTACTCCAAATATTACACTGTAAGCTAGTTAGCTAAGTTAGGTAGAAAGAAGGTAATAGATTCAACCAATTTAGTGGTATCATTAGGGAAACGACGTGGTGCGGTAGTGAATACCAGTCCTCGATAGCCAATGGTAGTGTGGAAGTTTAATGAGAAACAATTGATGATAGAATTGAACGTAATTTACATGGGTGATCTAAATGAGAGAAAATACGATGTGGAGGTGATAGTAATGATTCTCTGGGGTGGGTATTGTGATAGGAAATTGGATGAAGGAGGGAGTGGCGTGACACTCGGCGGCGAAGACAATGTGAATGAAGGTTAGCTGATTGGAGTTATCCTAATACGCTGGCATATGCTGAGTAGTTATTATAATTAAAACAAAGGACTCCTCATTGAACGGATTCTAGATGGTTTGTGAGGTACAACTGTCATGGAGACCGTGTAGATGAGGACTATTCTAACTTCGATTTTATAAGAGAAGTACTCGCTAGTTGTTTCACGACGTGTGTAGCAAGTTTGAGGTTACGTTGCGAGTATCGGAGAGTACGGTTAGTATCAGCAATAACAAAGGTTATGTGAGTTGTCCATGATAGGTCAGAAGTGAGATGAACGCCCAGGTATTTATAAGATAACCAGGCTGTTACTTGAGTGTTAACAAGGTAATACGAAAATGACATGGTACAGGAACTGCGGGAGGATGACAGGGATTTACATTTATTAAAGTTTAGCGCCATTTGCCATTTTTCGCACCACCAAACTAAAGACGCGAGGTCTGCCTTGAGAATTAGATGATCATGGCATGAAAGAATATGTGTCGGTATATGACAGAATCATCGGAAAACAGGCGCACAAAAGAAGTTTTTTTTTTTGGTGGAAATTATTAACGTAGATTAGAAACAAAAGGGGGCCGAGTGCGGTTCCCTGGGGGACGCTTGATGTTACAGTAGAGGTGGGAGATTTTTCGCTGTGAACGGAGAAATATTGCGTGCGATTGTTTAGGAATTCATAAATCCACTTCACAACAGAGGGCTGAATAATAATATCGTTAAGTTTCGTTAAAAATTGTTGATGAGTAACTTTATTGAATGCTTTAGAGAAGTCGATGAAAATGGCGTCAGTGGCTCTGACTTTCTTTATATTATTTGTGTCTCAAAAATAAAAATATTGCCAATTAAAGTACTATTACGGCACGGAGGTACAATTGTAGAACGAACATTTCACACGTCAATCATATCTCCAACCAATGAAGCTGAGAACAAGTACTTAGTTTTGTAAGCCCTTGTATATATCATCTCATAATCATCATCACTAGACGTGGCACCGCGGGCCTCCATGGTACGGGCTGTCGCCTTTCTGCGGTGCCACGGCTCTCCTGAGCCAGTAAAGATTACGATTACGATTACGATTACAGGGCGGGGCCTACAGTACGGTAACCCCCTCCTGAACTGCGTCTATAGTATTGCTAAAAAAAAAGCTTCTTCGCAAAAATTAAAAAGTGTCCCATTTAGGCTTTTTAATTTCTTTTCTTTTAATTTCATTGTCTTTTTTGTTGTTTTTTGGAACAACTGTACAAAACGGCAGATTTTAAGAAATAGTCCGAAGTTTTCGCAATCGTTCCCAGGTTAAAGAGGGTGCAGCCTTTCAGCAGGATTCGGCTTGTTTTCATCTGCCATCTCTGCCGAATCGAAGTGATGTGGAAGCCTACGTGTAGAGAATTAAGAAGGAGGAAGACGAAGGAAGAGATGAAGACGAAAAGTTAAAAGAAAAATACAAGTTAAACGGCATGTTATTCATTGCTTAGCTTCTTTACGTCCTAGATCCTTGACATTTTGGTGCCAAAACCCGGGAGGCTGTTTCACGACATGATGTTCGAGCCAAGACAACGCTGCATTTTTCCCAAGTAAGACGTGGGCGAACTGTATTGAGCGCACTGTAAACTGGTCGCATAAATCGGTTTCTTAACATATCGCGCTGGAATTTACTATAGAGGTGCTCGACGCTAGTGTATTCAGTAATTGAGAGTGTGAATAGACGAAACCTCAAGACGGTCAAGAGTAGAAAAAAAATAAAATAAAAATTGGCTTTGTCTACGAAAAAATTCGCTAAGCATTTTATCTCAAAATCATCAGAAAATCGTTGTGGGCTATTCTGGCGTTAACTGCGATTGAAAAATTTGTGAAATGGAAATAAAATAAAATTGGCTTACCTATTTTTTACTTCATTTGTTCCAAATAAGTGCCAGAGAAACACATTATAATTTTTCAGTGTACATGCAATGTATAGAGAACACGTAGTCTTTTTTTTTATTTTTCTTGATTTACTTAAGTGAGCCAATCTTTATACAGTTTTAGCGAAAGCGTTCACCCTAATTGTGGAGCTCTGAGACTTTAATGACGGAAGCAAACCATCGGAACGTAATGAGAAGGTCTTTCAAGAAGGATTCCTGCAGCCCAACAATAATCAATCGACCCTAACGAATCACAGTGGATAGATTGAAAGCGAAGCTTACTACTCGACGAGCCGAAAACACCAGGATGATAAACGACATTACTGCACTGCTCAACAACCCTCCTATTCGCGGTATGAAGCTCGCTAGAGGCGTTTCTGTTTTCCTCGCTCTGTGTAGTTCACGCGTTACCCGCCCGATTATGTTTTAGTTTTTATAGCACATAGAAGCTTGGCAATGCACGTGCTCGCACCAGCAGAGAAAGTTGAAGTGTCCTCACTCTAGGTTGTGAAAAAAGTCCACCAGGCGGCATATTTATTGGAATAAAAGAACGCCTTATTACGAGCAAAGCAGAGCTGGACAGAATGAACGAGGAGTTGAAGCAGCTACTACCGATTGAGGAGTCTGAGGTTGAGTATGCCGCAGCCACCGAATATCAAGGCCAGGCCATCATGTTTTTTGCCGAGCTCCGCTCCAAGATCGAGGAACTGGAGACTAGCAGATATTCCACGGTCGCAGCGACCGCAACAACTACACTTAGGGCACCTGACCCAGTCTGCAGGATGAGAGCATCTAGGTCATTGAAACTGAATATCACTTCATTCAGAGGGGACATCACCCACTGGCGGAGCGAACAGTTCGAAGGAACGATTCACTCCAACCAAGCGTTGTCAACGACAGATAAGTTTTATCATTTGCACCGCTACATGACGGGAGACGCCGCAGTGAAAATTGAAGGACTAACTACAACAGAAACATGCTATGCCGATGCCATTCAACTGCTGAAGCAACGCTTCGGTGATCAAAGAAGGATAGAGCAAGGACATCTGATGGCTCTTCAAAACCTTTTACATGTTCAATCCTCTACAGATACCCAAGGCATGAGGAACCTGTACGACACTGCGCAGCTGAACATCAGAGCTCTTAAGGCACTAAACGGGCCAACATTTAGCTTCGCAGCCACGCTTCGCAATACCCTCATGACATCGATGCCTTACGACATCGTGGTGCAATACCACAAACAAATTGCATCCAAGCTCCCAATCAACGGAGCAACAGCTCAAGTTGACGCAACCTCATAGCCTGAACCTGCATCCACATCAAAACTCAATAAGATGCTACGGTTCCTTCGCATTGAAGTCGAAAGCAGTGAAAAGAACGAGCGAAAGTCAGAATCTTTTTCATCAGGTTTCGCACTTCACGGTTCGACTCTGCAAACAAGAGGCGAGCGCATGATATTTCTTCCAATCTAAATTACACGCCACACATTCTCGCGAGTCTAAGAAGACTCTAGTTGAGAAAAATATGTTTTTGTGAAAGGATTTGAGATGTTTCCGCTGCACCACCAAATGACGTCGCGCAAGGGATTGCAAAAGGCAGTCACGGTGCGGTACCCGAATTCTAACGGACGACACGCATTAACAATGTGTGATCCGTCATTCGCCTAGACGAGAAAAGAAGGGACAAAAGTGGAATCAGTCGTGTGGGTTCCTTCTTCTGACCTGAAACACGAGCCTTTGGCCGGGCAAGATGACGCCATCCCATTTACCTAGAAACACTCCGTGCGTGGGCCATCAGTGAAAAGGGCAGTAGCTACATCAGGGGCATCCTTGATGGAGGCAGCAAACGATAATTCATCACGGAAGATGTTGCACTGCGCCTAAATTGCAGAATCTTAAGAATGACTAAGCTAGTACTAAATACGTTTGCTAGCACCTCAAGCAAGGTTTTACATAATAGCAACATCATTGAGGTTTGGCTTAATTTTCCATATTACGACACGAATACACGCGATTACTATGCCGGTAATTTGCCAGGACATAGCTGCCTCGATCGCAGATGACACTTTTGCGTGCTTTTTGCGTGATCGAAAGAAACGTCTGGCTGATGAAATGGTGTGTTTTGGCATACAAAGTTCACCTAGAATAAGTCTACTCATTGGATAAGATCAAATATGGAAACTTGGCACAGGAGAGATCCTTAGATCTAAGGAAATCAACGGCTTAGTGGCTATAAACACTTTGTTGGGATGGACGCTTCAAGGGCCCTCGACCAGAAGTAAATATTGGCATTACCATTGACCCTCATGGTGGGCGGACCTAGCTTAAGCAATCTCTTCGCCGAAATGGAACCGTATGCCATGGGAGCAACCTTGCGAAATGCAAACTTACTAACGATTACGAACAGAGCATCGCCAACGTGTGTCGCGGCACATGCTGCGAAGAAGATGCCAAGAGGCGAGTCCAAATACCGTCCTCTTCGGACAGCTTGCGCGACGAGTACAAAAACTCTTGTCCGAACATGGCGTACAAGAACGTCCCTGAGACGCCCGAGGCATTCGAGGACTACGAAGACTTAACTGACAGCGAGCCCTACTGGTACGACGTGAAAGAAAATTCCGAAGCGCCGGCTGGAAACAAGGGTCGCTGAGCCAGCGCCCCGGTGAACCGCTCGAGGGAGGATACTTTCGGTAACATTCCGGACAAGAGCAACGCAATCAACCTCCCTCAGAAACACGGAGCGGTCGACGGCCAGGAGCAAAAACCTGCCAAGGAGAGGCTCTCTCAGCGCGGCCGTAAAACCTGGCACGCTCAAGCAACAGGTCGGCTCACTGTTGGACAACTCATCGACCTCAAATGAGGTGGAGTTTACTTCATTTTTGGGAAAGGGTCCTGAGAGGTTATTCTCGCGCCTTGCCGATTTCAAGCATGAAGTTTGTGGTAGGGTCAGTAGGGTTGCCTTGCTGCATGCCCATCGGGGAGGAACAACACGAAGCCGGGGTTTCCAAAACGAGAAACTACATTTATTAAAGTAACAGGAATGGATTGTTAGTATCAACGTGAAACATTGCCGGAGCGTTCGAACTGCACGCCTCCGTGGCCATGGTCTGTCTTCCGCTTTCTGTGGGCGTGTGCCTTCTTTTATAGGCTTCTGTGCCTGTCCTCTACGTGCGCTATTGCGCGCCTCGGCCGTTGTCCAGTTTGGGCATTCGGCAGCGGCCTCTGGCCGTGGTGGGAGACTCTTGCTCCCACAAGTTAGAATTGGAAATGAATATTTAGACGACTGCCCAGCTGCCGTAGTTTCTTTCATATAAATTTGGATTGAACTACAAGTACGACTACGGAGCCGGCTTCTTTGCCAGGTCATCTAATCAACGAATCGGGCTTTGTACCAGAAAAAGCGGAGGCAAGGCAACACTAACATTCCGGGTAAACAACCGAATGGCCATAAAGATCCTAGACGGCGCAGAACAACAGGAGCACGACGTCATCATGAGTATAACGCGTCGAACGCGCAAGCCATTGGGAGCGAGACAGTACGCAAGCTGAGCAAAGACCTCCAGGTCAAAAAACAACTCGAGTGTGACAACGACGGCGATGACGGCGACATCTTCACGGACAGGGACAGTCATATCTCTGGGGATTATTGCAACCTAAAACAGTTAAAGCATCAACCTGAGACAAGTACACAAGCTATATTTTCTTGAGATTTATTGCGCTTCTCAGTTTCTGTTTTGGGATGATGTAAAAAATGAAGAAAAGAAAGGAGCAGGGAGAGATGAAGACAAAGTAGAAACAGAGGGAACTTCGATAAAGACTAATTAAACGGTATGTGATTCATTGTTTGGCCTCTTGACGTCCTACAATTCTGAAACGAGAAAGATCCCCGACACTGCGTATTGTGAAATGGCGGTTTTCAAGGCTTATTGCGGCAAGTTTTGGGCATCGAAATGAAACTAAAAATTGTGAATTGAATTTCTGGTAGCGAGGTTATTCAATCTGTGTACCCCCAATCTCATGACATAGAGACACCTTTGACACGTTCGGTGGCCATCGCGGGGAATCATGAAATTCATATTAGCGTTCACAATTTGGCTCAGCGATCTTTACATCGCCATGAAACACAAGCTAGTTATCTCTGTTCACCAAGTCAGCACTGAAATATGATCATGTGTCCGTACACCGCGGATTACAAATAGGAGCCCATGCAACACGGCAATACTTGACCGGTGCCGTGCCAGTGCCGGTCGAAAATTGCTCCCAATATTGGCTGAATGTCGCGTTTTTAACCACAGTCCAATCTCCGGCAGGTATTGGCATACCGTTATTTCGCCACTGGCCTAGTATCGGCGCGATATCTATAAGAGTACTATATGGATCGGACTAACGGCCGGGTATCGGAGCGATATATCAAGCGAGTACTGTACAGATCAGCCGGAGTATCGGCGGGACGTCGCATGCGGGTCTGCTTTAAATCAGCCGGACATCGAATGAGTCTGCTTTGTATCGGTCGTTGCGTATCAAACGCATTCAAGGACAAACGGAATTCTTTTCGATCGCTCCCAGAAGTTTATTACACCACTATCATTAGACTGATCTTGATTTACAAAGGCGATCCTTCTCCCTGAAAAAAAAATAGTAAAATAGTAAAATTACACAGTGCTAATGCCAAACAAGACTCATAAACCAAACATAAAAGACATTGATAATGCGGCCTTCAGAGCAAGCGGACGTATCTGCGGAGCGCTCCCGCCAAGGTTGTGTTCGCATATGGTTTTGTTGTGTGCACGCACGGCGCCTACGCCTGCGCCGGGCGACGTACACGTTCCCAAAACTGTACGGCACCCGCGTCTGCTAGTTTGTTCCACCAGTATGAACCGGGAAGTACCGAGAACCCCAATCTTGCAGTCGGTCATCACGCCAACCGGAGACCACAACCGCATGCCCGGGACTCTGAGGCAAGAGACAATGGTGATGGAAGGCAACGCAGCACTGCACTTTGAGCCGCCGCAAAACCCGCCTGGTGTCACCGCTGCGGGCTAAGCTAGTGACTTGACACTGACAGCTTTCCGTAAACCCGAAATTCGAGCGGACCGGACGACCCGAGGCAGCGTGGCCGCCGGCACCCTGAAAGCGACAAGCAGCGTGAGCGCCAACGCCCAGACAGTAAGCGATAACGATTTTCTGGAACCCTGCCTTGCAAATAAGGACACAATATCAAGCTTCATAAGCACGAAAGAAGAATTTTAGAATTTTTTTGTAACACAAGCGTGAATTCTACGCCATGAAAGAGTTTCAAGAATTTCAATTGGAACACGTTTGAGGCTTTTAAGTAAGAACAGAGACATAAAAAAAAAGCATCCTCGTGGGGCCGACGCTGTGAGAGAGGCAGTTTGTAAACCAAGAACCGCATCGCAAGAAGCAGCGAAGATGACTGAAGACCTCAAAATCGCTAGAACTTCAGAAGGATATCAGGTCGCTTCGTACAATAAGAAAGAAGTGAAGAAGTCAAACATTCGGCGACCGGACACACGGCAGATCTAAAACAGCAATGGAAAGGAGGAAATTAAACCAATTGCTGACGTGAACAGCAAGAGTAGATAAACCTGGAGATATTGCGAACGGGGCCGGTGGAGTGGCGCCTCTGGAGCGAGGCGTAGGAACCAGACACTCATTTTTTGGCCAACGTGCAGAAAAAGCGTGGAGGACTTCACCGCCAAGCAGATCAAGGTCGCCGCCGCCGAAGCCGGTGTAGCCTACCCCGAAAACATAGCAGTTAAGTTCAAGAAGAAGACGAACACCATCGCTGCAGTTGCATCGGATCCCGCAGCAGTCGAAACGCTCACGCGAGTCACTAACGTCTCCACGCCAGACGGGCACATGGAATTCCAGGCCGTGAAGGCGTAGGACTCAAACTAGTGCGTGGGCATACCTTATTTCAAGCTCGACTCATTTGAAACCGATGAAACAATTATGAAGTACCTACCCTTTAGGACCCCAAGTGAAAAGTTTTGCAAGTGGTACCACTTTGCAAGTGGTGTATTGAACAGGTATGTCCTGTTCCTCCGAGGGGACGAGGGCAAGTCGAAAGACGAAGCGACAAATAAGTAGACGAACGAAAATTATTTTACTCACAAGCACAAAAAAAAAAAAAAAAGAACAGAACAGAAGCGAAAGAACAAAAATCGAGTGGTTAAATGGCTACAGTCAATACAGTCAGTCTCAGTCGCGAGCTGAGAACACTCACAGTCTCGAGCGTCGATCTTGCTTGGAACGGAACCCGGCCTTGTTCTTCGATGTTA